AGCCTGCCCGCTGCGGGATGCAACGGAACCGGCGCCCCTCACCCTCAACCCGTGCTCTTAGTTGCCGGGTTAGGAGAAGGCGCTCTCTCGTCCGTGCCATTGTAAATCAGCTGGAAGCCATCGCGGCGGCAGATAACAATAGGCTTGTCGTTGGAGCAGCGCCCGATGATTTCGCTGTTGTTCGGCAAGTTGTAAGGCACGGCGTCCTTGAAGTGGATGATTGGGCCGCCGTCCATCGTGAGCCCGATAATTTCTGCTCCCTGAATGCCATCATCCTCATCACAAGACTCGGCTTGAATAGTGTTTCTATATCTCGTGTTAGCGTACATGTTTTCATCTTGGCGGGGGAGGTTGGGTAGCAACTAATTTCCCGGGGTGGAAAGGTGCACGTACACTTGGCTCATGGGGAGCGTTCCGGCGTCGCTCATCTTCCTCTTTCTCGCTGACGCCTTCTTGACTCTCCGGACCATACATGTGTGGAAGTAGTGGAACAAACCCGCGATGACCAAGACGGGTGTGCCGAGAGCAAGAGCCCATGGACTATAATGATACATTAGCAAAAAAAGATGAGGCTTGCAAGTATGGCAGGGAGGCTACACACGGGTTCTTGCGTTGTCTCAGCTGGTGGACAAGGGCCAGAATGACTCCGCATACTGCAATGAGAGATCCGACCTGAATCATGGTGAATGTCGACCAGTACAGCGACATGAGATCCTCGCCGTCGCAGAATTGCAATGCCATCAAGGTGAAAACCTCCATGATGACCGTCGCTAATGAGACGCAAACGCATCCCAGATTGAACCAGATGCAGTGCTTGATGGCTTTTTTCCTTTTGGCGTCCGTCTCGGGGAGTTCGCTCACAGCGTCCAATGTCCTGAACAGTTGGTCAGTGAGACTGTTTGAGGAGAAATGACCGTGAGACGCAGCGGTTTTTGCGGGGGAACTCACCGTGTGTAATTCCATGCTGCCAGGAATAGGATGAACAGATTGAAAACGAACAAAAGCCAGTACATGACATCGAACTGCCATCTATCCAAGTGAGATGCAAATCTGGCGTAGTGCTCACACCGCACCGGGTCATAAGGTGTAAAGTCTTCTTCGTTGGCTGACATCGTGACTGTTGTGTGTGTTGTTGTTGTGGTTGTTGTGTTGTAGAAGATGCTTTCACGTCTTCTTCTGAAAATCGTCTGGTGCTCCGGATGACAGAGCGTTGATGATATTGGCACTTGACAGATGGTGATGCAAGAGGCTCTGCTTCTTTATAGGTAAAGAGGCTCGTTTTGTAAAGTCACCGATTTGCAGGGTTATGATGAGTCGGTGCGGACTTGTCCAGGCTTGCGTGTGCGAACAGGGAGGCGCTTTCAGTCAGGCTCTGATGGCGGGCAGGGGTCGTCGTGGTGCTAAGTCTGCCGAGGAGCACCCCGGTGTGTTCGTGCAGAAGTGCGGACTATGAGGCGAGGGGTGTATACTAAGATAATCTGTACAGTGGAGGTATAGACCAAAGCTCCTATGGCTTGTCAAGCAGAAATGTGAGATTAGCTCAGATTGAGATGGCAGAATGGCTCGTCACTGCCCAGGGGACTACTGCAGTTCTGCAGTCAATTAGAAGCCGTTCGCTCCACTCGGTCTTACACCAACATGTGGATCCAAGGCCAAGTTCAAACTCATCTTGTCACCAATGATGCACCGATGCTGAGTCGAGAGGGGAGGCAGGCCAGGAATAGTGCTTGAAACAAGACGATAGTGACAGCGTCGTCGACATGGCTGGTGGTGATCCGCATGTGGATGGCGATGCTGTCTGGGCGATGTCTGGGCAGTCTCTTGGCAAGATGCGCGGGATAGGACGTAGATTGCCGATCTGTAGGCGGGCCCTTGGTGACGGCGCATGTGGATTTGGATTGGTCGGCCGCCGCATTATTCTCCGGACTAGGGGGGGCTTAGCAACGACGTCCAGACTTTGCAACTCTGTTGCACAGATATTCCATGGTTCCCTAAGCTCCAACGACGAGCTTCCCTTGTCCAACAATCCAATTCTTTCCCCCATTGCCCCGTCCAATGCCCGCTCCGACGCCGTCAGTGGGAGGCCACCCCGCGTGCCCGCAGTGCCCGCACGTCTCATCAACGAACCCTCAACTCGAACATGTGGTTCCTCAACTCATTCCCTCCATCAACTCAACTCTGTCAAGCATCATTCCCTTCAGACCAAGATACTCCTTTAGCGAGTCCCACTCGATACCGCCTTCCTCGCCGTGTCGCCATTTCTCTCTGTAACCCCAGGCGCATGCGATGTCATCCATGCCCGCCCGTTCTTCTTCACGTAGCCAGCGCTGGTGCAACGGGATCCCGGGCGCCCAAGTGACTCGTCGCATATGATCATTGACAGTGGTTTTGGCAACCATCCCAATTGTCGCTGTGAACCCCAAATAAGCCAGGATGGCGGCGAAGGCGAACTTTGTGGCTGTCACGGGCTCCATTGTGTTCTGGAATGCCGAGAGATTGGAGGCAAGAGTGTAGACTCCAAAGGGGGCCGCTGCCACGGCCGAGACGGGCAGAAGCGCCTTCCGCAGAAGCTTTTGGCGGTAGAATGCTTGTGTTGCGTAGCAGGCCTCAACGATGCCAATCGCAGCGTCCAAATTCTTGGCGTCGATGGCGGCCCCCAGAGCTGTTTCGGCCACACTTGCTTCGATTGCCTTGTCTGCCCTATTTGGGTTCTGCTGAACATAGGAGACTGCACCCTCGACCGCCTTTGGTTTGGGCTTTGACGCATACAATTCGAAAACATGGGGAAGTGTCTCGGGCCTGCCAAGCCTAGCTTGGATGTTTACGTATAAGTCCAAGACCTGGGGACCAATGGAAACGGTGGGGTGGGCGATAATTTCGTATGCTGACTCGGAGATTGTGTCGACTGTATCCTTGACAGAAACTGACGGGATCGACGCGCTACCAGATTTAGCTGCAGTCGAATTCGAGTCCAGGGATAACAGATTGGAAGCGGTCGATGCTGTGAGTGTCGATGCCGGACGATTCTCCGACCTGGATAGATAGGGTTGAATCGCATTTGCGGCGCCTTGGCACGTTTTCAAGACTGCAGTGACGAGCTGTGGAGTGGGAATTCCGTCTGTAGAGAGGAAGTGCTTTCTGCTCTGTTGAACCACGGCCGCCAGCTTGCTCAGATCAGGGAGTTCCTTGGACGAAGGACTGGCCGTTGCGGGCCTCTCGTGACCATTCTTTTGCAAAGCCGAAGCAGATACCGTGCTCGCCAGGCGACTTTTCTCAAAACCCCGTCTCAATGTGGTATTCTCGTAGAGCTTGGCAGATCGAAGAGGGACTATCGAAGGGACGTTTGGCTTGGCGGTATGTTGGAGTCGAGTCTGTTGACCGGCGCGTGACAAGCCCACGCATGATTGACAAACGAAGCGAGGCTGGCGAGCCGCTGGCCGGACGAAGGTGGTCCTCATCATCTTCGTGGCGGTCAGGTCTTGGAGGAGGAGGAGGAAGAGGAGGAGCAGGAGGCTGATGACGAGCGTACGCGTCTTCGGCGATTGAGGATTGGACGATCTGAAGCAGACAAAGAGCGAGCGGGCGTGAAGTCGTAGATTGGCCTCTGTGGGCTGCAGCAGTAGGGCGAACAGCGAAGCAGTCGGGAGAGGTAGTCCGTTTCGTAGCGAGGCAAGCCAAGAGAATCAAGCAAAAGGGGGCCGTCGGGCGGGTGAGGCAGAAGCCGTGGGGGACAAGCAACCGGGAGAGGCCGTCTTGGGGCTTGGTATTGATCGAGGAGAGAAGGCCGACAAAGAATCCCGGGTGATGTGAGGCGCTGGTACCGTGGGACGGTGGGATGAAGCAAAAATGGAGGACGGGAAAGGACTGTCGGAGCTCTGGACGCGACGGAGGTTCCGGGGAAAGCTGAGAGCTCCTGCAAAATTTCCACCATGAGCCCCATACCCCCCAATAGCATGTCGTCTAATTACCCGCACCTGCCTCCCTAGCCTTACAGGCGATCATTCACGCGGCAGGGAGGCTCTCGCAGCTCGGGACAGCGCGCCGCGCCAATGAGATTAGCAGCTGCCCCTCGTAGGCGGGGTCGTTTCGGGGCAAGTACAGGAGAGTACAGCGCCCAGCCAATACTTGAGGGTGCACTGAAGAAACGTGGCCGGCAGCAGCCACAGCCGTCCACTGGCGTTGCATGCCGAGTGTTCTGAGAGCCTGCGCACCTCTTTGGCGCGAACTGTTACACTGCCACTTCACTCACGCCGTCTGCTGTGTGTTTCTCAACGCCTTTTTTTCCAAGACGTTAAAGCTGTAGATCTTTATTGTAGCTCTGCATTAGATACAATTCAACATCCTTAGCAATGACTTGGTCTCTTGGGCCTATTCCGGTTTGTTCCGTAAATTGTCTTGGCTTGCGAGAGTGCTCATACCCAGGATCACCATTCTTCTCATGCGCCACATCGCATGCTTACGTACTTCCTAGCCACAGGTACGTGAAGAGACATTTGAGGCTGATGGGCCAGAAACTACTTACGCCGCTATGGCATCTGCCCGCCAGCTGGAAGTACTCCGAGCCAGGCAGGCGCCTCAGCCCACTTGGACTGCAACGGTTGCACTGCCAGCGCCTAACAGCGCAGCGCCTTTGAGCGAACGACCAAGATACTGCCCGAAGATGACGAAACACCACGCGGCCGAAAAGCGACCCCAGAGTACCATCATCCCATCGACCCTTGAGGACACGCTGATTGAACCCCTCGAGAGCCTCAATCTCCTCCTGTTATTGAAACAGCACCCTGTCGCTCCATTCTACTGTATCTGAACGACATCTCTCGCCCATCCTCGCCGTTGACCCCAACCTATCAAGCCCGGCTTGCATGAGCCTCCGTCCAATTCCGGCCGACGACCTAACCATCATCAACTACCTCTCCATCGGCGAAAGTCAACCACAACAACCATCAGTTACTCGATATTGAAAGCGCAAACACATAAAAGACACAAAAACAGGCTTCACCATGCCCCCTCCGCCTCCGCCGCCGCCGCCAATGCCTGCGATGGGCGGCCCTCCTCCGCCTCCTCCACCGCCAGGAGGTCCTCCTGGAGCTGGCAATCTACCTGCGAGACCACCACCAGGAGGCAGAGTACGTCTCTGGAGCTCACAAGCGGACTTGGAAGCTTTGTCACAGCATCATACTGATATGGTTCACAGGGCGCTCTCCTCTCCGACATCACGAAAGGCAAGGCTCTCAAGAAAGCCGTTACGAACGATAGATCTGCGCCGATAGTTGGGGGTTCCTCTGGCGGCGGTTCCTCCGGAGGACCGCCTCTAGGAGGTGCGCCTCCGGTCCCAGGCTTTGGTGGTGCTCCTAAACCTCCCGGTGGTCTTGCTCCTCCGGTGCCCGGAAATCGAGCTAGAAGTAATAGCGACCAGAGCGGGCGAGAAAGCGCGCCTGCACCGCCCACACAGGCAGCACCACAACTAGGGGGACTCTTTGCGGGAGGTATGCCGAAACTGCGGAAGACTCGTGGCGCTGTTGATACCGGTGCTTCTATGGACTCGTCGTATCTATCGGATCCCGAGAGCAATGTGCGGTCATCCTCTGCGCCGAAGCCACCCACATTCGGAGCACCAAAACCTCCTGGCGGTGCGGCGCCGGCTCCGCCGGGAAGGCCGCCTCTACCTCCTCCCAACGCCGCGCCGGCCCTGCCGCCATCCATTGCCAACTTGCGCAAGACGCCCAGCGATCTACCCCGGCCAGGCTCTTCAGCATCGATGAAAGGGCCTCCACCTCCTATAGGCAAGAAGCCGCCACCACTGCCAGCATCCCGGAAGCCCTCTACTACGCCTAGCCATCCACCTCCATTACCTGGATCGCCAGCTCCAGGAGCACCCCCTCCACCACCTCCATCGTCTGCTCCAGCACTTCCGTCCGCACCCCCCTCAGCGCCGCCGCCACCCCCTGCTGCTGCTGCTCCCAGAGCTCCAGCACCATCGCCTCCGTCGAGGTCCCCAGCACCTCCACCTCCTCCACCGGCCTCAAACGGACCTTCGCCGCTGGCAATGCAAGCCGCTTTACGAGCAGCCGGACAAGCATCTCCAAGTGCTGCTCCACCGCCTCCCCCATCAGCGGCTCCCTCGCCCCCCGCCTCCGCACCTCCTCCACCAGCAGCACCCCCTACGAGGGCCCGTGCTGGTTCCGGTCTACGATCTTCTATGCTAGATCCAAGCGCCTTCACTCTTGCTCCCAATGGTGCAAAGAGTCCAAGCCCTACTCGAACAAACACGATGAGCAGTCTCAATGTCGGCGGTGGGGGCCAACGATACATCGTACAAGATCCTCGATGGAAGTTCCAGGATGATGCCATGTTGCCAAAGCCAAGGGACTTTGTAGGCGGTCCCAGACGATACAGAGCCGGCAGAGGTAGCAGTGTTCCTCTTGATCTCAGCGCCCTATAAGGGGTTCAGACTAGATACGGATTATTCCGCAGCCTGATCAGCATCAAGCTCTATCAAAGTTTGGGTCTAGAGTGGCGGACAGCCTCAGGCAATCTACATGAATCGAACGATCTGCACTGCTATGGTTCTTGGTGGAAACGCGCCCCTTGTTGCTGCATGGAAGTCGTCCGGCTGAGATTTCTCGCGGAAGACGGAGACGGTTCTATTCCGACGCCTTCTGCCGGTGGGCTATTGTTAGTCGCCAATTTGAGGATATTCTGGAGGATTCTGACTCCGCAAAATCTTACACAACGGGACAAGCATTCGCAACACATCCTGAGGGCGTCGTCGTATCGGCACTTCTTGGCCCCGTTACCTTGGCGAAACGATCGACTGAGACGAATCTAGATCTCTCGGATGTACTCGTCTTGGGAAATCTCTTGGTTTCCTTGGTATTCTTGGTACCAAGAACCATGGTTTCTTTTCTAATGCTTACACTCAACGTCCTCTCCTTCGGACGGAACGGGGGGTTTCTACAGATTCTCTTACAGGGTCGTCAGGGACTTTGAGGGGCAAACGGCCTTGGCATGCAAGCAAGCACTCGTAGCGATCTGGGAAGGGGAAAAAAGGCAAGGAATCACGTCATTCAAGAGAGCCATCACGCTAGCGGGATACTTGGTCCTCCTGTCAGACATTGGTAGAAAATCAGATTACTTACAAGATCTGGGAAGATTCTGAACCTAATCGTTGCTGGTATATTGATATTGATTATCAACCGCTCTATCTTGACCAAACGGGTAGAACAAGTGCAGGAGTGGATCCGCCGTTGTGTATTAGTCACATCCGTCCGTCTTCGAGGCGGTCTTCGTCCACCTCAATCCCTGAATGCTAGTCACCTCCGTATATGCCCGATGGGAAGAATATTCAACCCAGCACGATCACGATCCTACATTCCAACGGATTGATAATGATAACCCCTCATGTTGTCAGTTGAACCTGGTATGCTTCACAAATAGGGCACGTGAATCGACGTTACTCGGTTCAACTTTCCAGCTCAGGGAAGTAGTAGTAGACCCCCATCGTGTTTTTTCTACGCTTCAGACGAGGGAGTTCACCTAGTTACACAAACACAACACAGCCTCGTTGACACAATTGGTAATCAGTAAATCAGATCTTTCCATTCGGCCTTGACTTTTCCATTTCGTTTGACAAACTCGCGACAAAGAGACTAGAGAAGTTGAGACGAGAACTCTTTCGCCCTGCCCGGGTAAAGTTGACCGGTTGAGCCAAGTCTCAGCATCTGTAACCGAAACTTGCTTCGGCGCGAACCCCCCCCCCCCCAAAAAAAAAAGACTCGAACGTTGAAGAGAGAAGAAGAGAAAGGCTATCCGTAGAACAACCCCAGGAGACACTCCCAAAGAGTTCAAGTTACGAACAAGGCTCAGGGGCTTCCAAACGTCCCAAAACAGGCATCATTCGAACTCATCGGGGGTCCGGGGGAAACTCACCGCCCAGTCAAGACTACACAAATTTCACATGCAGAACGTACGTAAAGCGGCGTCCCCGGGAGACGAGGAATCTTGATGTGAACCGTGCCCCGTTGATCGATTAAAGCTACCTCCTGTAGGGTGTGTATTTGGGAGAGGAGGAAAGGGAAAGAGAAAAAAACACCCCGGTGCTGTCCCGCAAATGGGGGTTTCAAATATGTCCGCCGGCCGATTGCTGCAGAAAACGAAGAAAAATCACTTTAACCCATGGGGCCCAATAGCCCCGCGTCGAGGTACGATCGATAACCTCACACCTTTGAACAACTCCCCGCCCTGATGCTTCGAGCAAATCAAAAAAAGGAACTTGTACGCGAAAACCCCCTAAACTGGATCTGGACCTAGACAAGAGACAAAAGCTTTCACGCCATGCCGGCCCAGATCCTTGGCTGGTCTCCTCCACTTCCACTCCTACACCCCAGATCATAGATCGTTGATCATTTCAGATGAAGATTCAAGCAGCACGAGAGATTTAGAAAGAAAAAAAGATTGATAATGTCCCCGCACCACGCAAGCCACCCCGGTTTGAACCCCCGTTTTCGTTTGCCAGGCATATTCCGCGTTTCTTTCCCCCGTTTAGGAAGAAGAGGTATCCATGAAAAGATGAGAGAAAAACTTGCAGTCGTCTATATTCGTCAATGTCCGCGCTCATACCCGTTCGTGACGAAAAGAGAAGAACGCCGACAAGAGGCGTATGAAGAAAAAGGCCCGGAATCCCAAAAGGTCCAGTACCCCGGATCCGCCCGTACGTAAATAGCATCCGACGCTTCATGATTCAGACGACATGTTCGACGATCGACGCTGATTCAAAAATCTCAAGCGACGACGCTTCGACCAACCCCCGCACCCCACCTCAGGCGACGAAGACCACCGCCGGACGATCGAATAACTTCCCGTCCGCACGAGGATGAGTCTGCGACTGCCGAGGCGTTGACGCCTACTCCTGCTGACAGAGCTTCCTGACGTCCTACTTCACGGCCGATCACGTAGCCCGCGCCAAATCCTACCACAGACACCAACACCACCACGCCAGCGCTGACAACCCATGTCAGCAACGTCGGGCTGATGAGGGCATCTTCGTTGGCCGCGACCTTCTTCTTCTTTGTCGCACGGGATGAGCGTGTCTGTGAGGAAGAGGTTCGCTTGTGCTTATCGATGCCGTCGCTCTTGGGTGATGATGGGGCAGAAGACGCCGCCGTCCGTGATGGACGGGCAGCCGGAGACTTGGAAGGTGAGGCGGTCTGAGGTTGGGTAGGTCTTTCAGCCATGAGCTCAGATTCGGGCATCAGCCGTAACTCAACAGGTTGAGAGCTAGGTCCGACTCCGGCATGCGCGGGTGGACCGCCTTGTCGCTCAGTAGTATCCTTATACTTGGGCAGACCACGGGCAGCAGCGGCGCACGACAGAAGAGTCGTGAGGGAGGCACGGAGAGCCGCGTCATTGTCGGCTTGATATGCGGGGGACATGAAGTTTGGCGGGCCCCGGCTGACTCTAGTTTGAGATCGTTGGGATAGTGCGGGCCTTACACCGCTGTGCGGATGCTGGTGGATCGCCGAGCTGGCCGAGTGCCTCCTATCCAAGCCCGAGGGCGGATGAGAAAACGCGTTTGGCTGAGGTCTGAAGACAGGATCATCGGAAACGCGGCCCAGGGCGGTAGCAATCTCGTCGCTGTCGTCAGAGTCCTCCGAATCCTCCTGCGCCGATGGCTGCTGTTGGAACGACGCCCGCACCGGAGGCCGAACGTTCTCGGTCGAGCTCGTCAGACATCGGTCCTCCTCGCTTTCACTCTCCTCGTATTCCTCCTGACTACTTGTACCCGCGTGGATAGCCGTCTGGTCGACATGAAAAGATCGTGGCACGGGTTGATTTTGGTGATGTAAGCGACGTCGGCGGGCGGCCATGGACCCACCGACTCGGAGACCGGTGGTGACGATCTCGTCGCCGATGGAAGAGAGAGACGACGAAGAAGGCTGCGACGAGACCTCTACCCACGAGTCTAGAGAGGGAGACGTTAACATACTATCGGCCTGACCAGCCGAGTGGCTGGCTTCTAGTGACTGACCGTCATTCCGCCTGCGAGGGCCCGCGGCGGGTTGTGATCCGTTCGCCGACATTCTGTTGTTCTGGAAGTTGTGTCCTGCGCGGTCGTCGCGCTGTTGTCCATCCATTTTGAGATTTATGATTTTTTACGCCGTTGAATTTCGAAAAGAGTAGCTAGAGATATAGAGAAAGGTCGTTCGTAATCGTTAGACTTCGTTGTTGTCGTCGTCGTCGAGGGAGGTGGTTGGACGTATGTGGGGGGTGCGTCCTCCGTCCCAAACCCCGCGTTTTGGAGATAAGATACGCTCGTGAGATCTCCGTAGCAAGGGGTCCGAGTTGTCAGTTCGCTCGACGCTGCAAGTGGTTCGAAAAACGCGCTGGTTCACGACGGGAAAAGAGTTGAAGTAAGAAGGGGAAAACAAAAAAGTAGGTAAGGAAGGAAGGGTTGCAGCAGACCGCTTCGACTATAGCCGGCTCACCAGGCACGCAGGGTCGGTGAGATGGTGTTGAGGCCCGGCTGGTGGATGGCTGGCTGGGCCTTTGTGCAGCACGTAGAGGTCGGGGAACCTGGAAGGAGGGGAGGGGCCTCTCTGTCTCTGTGTCCACCCTAAGCGTGCAATACGGCAGGTGGGATAACGGACGCTAGGAGATGATCTGGAATGTCACTGGATGTATACATGCAGCAGTTATTCGCGGGGCAGATACCTGCTCACCCGAGCCGGCGCTTGGAGGTTCCGGGCACCGTACCGTGTCAGGTGCCATCACATCCGCCTTATCAGACGGGCGTTTTCTGGATGCAAACAGCGCGATAAGCACAGTACGACGTTTCTCTGCACGAGGGAATGTCCTTGATATGGATGACGCTATCGTTACGGTCAGGGGGGGGGGGAGACCGCCATACACTGCTCCGTACTGGATGGACGCATCCACGTCTACGTCCCGCCTCAGAACATCCCACTTTGGCATTTACATACCGTCCGGGCCGCCAAGTGCAGGCGCTGCAGGGGGTCAGGTGGGGTCAAGATTCACGGCGTTTTGCAGCGGGAAGCGCGAGCTGCGCCCACCACGAGTCCCTCGACCACTTAACACCGTGACACCGACACCGGCTCTCCAAGTTTCGGTCGCCTATTGCGTGGTTTACCTCTGTACGGCAACATAGGAAATGCGGAGAGGGTTGCCGTCCGGTGCTGCTAGTGGTCTGTCGACGCCGCGACATGCATCCCGCGACAAGGACGATCCTAAGACACGCCGTGATTCTCGTCTTATAATCGTCCCCTAAGTCATGCCAGATTCCACTGACGTGCTGTCGTAGGTAGCACTGGACTGCTGCCCTACTCCTTGCCCTTCCCTTCGCTCCACCGTTTTCCCAACACAATAGCCTCCGTTTGGCGCCTTGGAGGGACTTCTTAGAGGGCCTACCTAGCTAGGTCAAACGGC